GGAAAGGAAACACAGCTCCCAGCCTTCTATAAGGTAACCAAAGCCTTAGCCCAATGCCTGCATCAAATCGAAACCCGGGCCTCAAAATATTGGGTGAAGACTCGTAATTGTTCTCCACCAATTCTGTGTTGGCGATTAAAAACAATTTGCTCTCTCTCTCTCTCTCTCTATATATATATATATATGTATAGTTATATATGTACTTCCTCCTCCAGAAACTTTCCATGACACATCTCCAACTGCATTCAGAAACCCATGTACCTGTTACTATAAATGTACCCACTCCCCTGCGCCCCTGCTCACCCAGCCACTGACCTTCCCTAACACAATCACAGTTTCTTAGGTTAAACTCCTTTTGGGGTTTACAATCTCAGTTCATTCATAGTCCTTGTTGCTGTCGACGTCACAATCACTGCCACTGCTGTTCCTGTTGTTGTCCTACTTGCTGTCTCCACCTCCAGTTGCATTGTTATCCTCTTTGTTTTCCTTTTCGACTTCCCCTTCCCAGGGGTCTTTGAACAGGTTGTGCCACATGTTCCATTTCCAGGTGGAGTTGCCTGCATTTTCTGCATCCTCTCCCACTGATTTCTTGTCGTTGTGTTGGCTACGAGGGATCAACTCACAGGATTAACATAAATTCTAATTTATTGTACAGAATGTGAAATTAACAACCAAATCATAAATGCAAACTTTTAGTTATGAGTGGTACTGGTCACCTTAACTCATACACATATATACTCACTCATTCAAATCCATGTCATTCAGACCCATGTAGTATAGTTTATAGTAGCTGCTTTAGTGATTGTGAGAGCACTGGTGCTATCTGAGGTTCTGGAGTCTGCTGTTGATGGTCAGCTTCATTCAAGGCAATGTTTTCTCCAGAAGTGGGTCACCTGTTTGTCCTTCTGTTTTGTTAGTCATGTTCTGGATGAGAAGACATCCCTGAGGGGCACGCATCACTGCCTTTTATCTCTTTCTAGCAGACTTATGTGATCCCCCAGCATCATTTTACATGCCCAGTTCAGAGGTTGCTGTCCCATGTGGGTTTTGAGTAGTGCATGACAGCTGTTAGTCACAGGGGTCTCTGCCTGCTGGTACCTGAAATTTTGGGTGTCTACCCTTGACTTATTTACTTAATGGCGGTATTGTTATGGGTTACAGGAGTAGTCAATAGGGTGGGTGCTCAGTTCCAGAAATAGTTCCTTGGTTTTATTAGCCTAAAATGGCTTGAAGAATAGAGTTTTGTAATGCTAAGTTTCTCTGGCTAGGTTATTGTCAATTAACAGCCAGAGGCTCTTCCTTTGTCTTCAATTATCTACTGATTCATCATACATATTCAGATTGCATAGCCTTGGGGAAGCTCATTTGCAGACCCAGGAAAATTTGGAGGGCGGGGTTGCTCTATTGTGTCTCCCAAAATTCCTTCTCCAGCGTCACTCTGTGGTGCCTGCCTCTGGGGCTGAGCAGCGCCATGGGGGTGGGGGATGGGCTGGTAGGTGGCCACTGTAACTGGGACAGGGATTGGGGCCGTCTTGGTGGCTCCTCTGCCATCGTTTAGTATACTCTGTTTGTTTTTTTCAGATTGCATAATTTTTTTGCTTTTTACTAAAGCTAATTCTATCTGAAAAGTATTATGTGGTATAGGCTCTTCAAAGGGTCCCTGGGAAAGGAAATGGACAGACAGAACAAAGGGGACAATGATATAATTGGACCTGAAGACAAGGTCAAAAATGGCAGGAACCAGAGTTAGTAGGACCCAGGGGAGTCTTTGGTAGGCTCCTGCAACAGCAGGGCCTCCCTAGCCCTGCCTGGGACCACGTGTCTGCCCCACTGCAGGAATCTCAGATAAGGCAGGGGGAAGGGCAGGGAAGGAGCTGGTGCAGAGCATGGGGAAAAGCGGTCACTTGCTTGCCCCCTGGCCTGTGTTCTCTGCTGCAGCTGCTTGTAGCCCCTGTGGGGCTGTCCTGAGCAGGCACAGGCAGCCCCACGCAGGCTGAGAGTGGCTGCAGCAGGGAGTGCTGGCCACGGGGCAGATGAGGGGCCTTTTTTCCCCCCATGCTCAACACTAGCTTGTAACTCAGCCCCGCGCCAGCTCTGGGGTCGCCCATCAGGGCTGCGCCATGGTGGCAGCAGCTGCAGCCCCCCTGCTTGCTGCGCAGGGCAGTGTCTTCTGCTGCTGCCTGCCTGGAGCTCACGCCACAGTAGGCTGTGGTGTGGCTCCCACTGC